TCATAGCATTCAATTCACTCGCATCTTTTCATTACCGATACACCACAATTATGATTCAATAATTAAAAGTGAAAATATAGAATTCTGAATTTTGGTTATCCATTCTATTGAGTGTAATGAGCATTTGAATTAAAGGCACAATTTCCAAGCCAAACGATCGGTCGACAAATCTGATTCAGCTAAAAAAAATCATTGCGCACTTTTTTTTTATCTCATTTTTCTATCAAAATATCAACAATTGATTGATTGGTGTCCATATTCTTATCTATATCGTTGTATTACAAGAATAAAACCCATACATACATGACATTCGTGCACAATTTTCCGTATCAAAATAGTAGGAAAATCGATATGATAATATTATTATCATAATAATAGATAGCATTCTATCCCAGAAGTAAGTAAATTTGTTTCATTTCAAACGGAATCACATATTGATTAAATCTACCGCTTCCAAATAGACAATGAATAATAATTTTTATAGCCAAATAAACGGAAATACCTTAAACATGTCTAATGCTAGATTTTTACCGCTCATTATTGCGATACTTGAAACATTCGGTGAATGTCCATTTACTGGAAGGCATTCTTCATCGATTGACTCTATCTTTGAAACTGCCAAGATAGTTGCGAAATTTATTATCCGAATGACTAACCTCCATATATTCACATTTTGGCGGCCATATTTTCTCGATATAAAAAGGCAACCATCGAACTCATAAACCAACAGTTGCAATCTAACGGGTGTGGTGAAGATAAAACATTTCAACGGGTCGTGAGAGTGAACATCGATTTATTTGAAAATGTGCCATAAAGTGATATTCTTGATGATTGTACTTGCCGTGCATAATCTAGTTGCAAGTGAGTAAAATACGATTTATATCGGAAAATTGGGAAATGGATGATTCATAGCCAATTTTGTTCAAAAAAAATTCTGATTCATTTTCAACTTCTTTGAAAAAATTGAATCTTCTGGTCAATTTAATGTTATTTTCCAATGAAATTCCGATTTTGTTCAATTAATTAATTTTTTTAATCATAAATGAAAATTGAAAATGTTAACTAATCAGTCGAAAACAAGTAAATTCGAAGTGTTTATGGAAAAGTTCATGCATTTGTCCAATAAATCAGCAAGTTAAAGCGGTAAAACGGTTTAGATCTATATCATGATTGATGAAAACCAAACTTTTTTCGCCAAAAACTTTAAACTAACCCAAAAGATTGGAAGAAATTACTAATTTAAGCATAAAAAACGCTAGAATATCGACAAAAATGCAAGAATATCTACAAAAATTCAATCAAAATTGAAGAAATCAGTAGAATTTGCAAACATCTGTTGGAAATCGTTTTGATTTTTCACATTTTACTCAAAGATGCTGTAGGAGACTCATCATAAATGAGAGCTTTAAACTGAAAATACGCAAAAAAAACATTCAAAACCGTGACATATGAGTCAAAGATTCAGAAAATTTCTACAAAACCATCTGAAAAATGTATTTAAAATATTTTTTCTATGATTTTTTTTCAATAGCCTTGATCAATTCATGATTTGTTCACTCCAAATTCTTCAACGTTTTCTTATTCTTCCATTTTTAACCTCAAACAGTTTTACAATTGAAGATTACGCATGAACGGGATATTGCATTTGAAGGGAATCCAGTTAACCTGCAATGTGTTATTTACCCAACAAAAGTGGCACCGACTGAAGAATTGACATGGAAACACAATGGAAAAGTATTGAATGCCACAAACACTTTGAACACAGCCAATACCATTCTAATAAACAAAGTAAAATTGGGTGATGCTGGAGTATATTCATGTTCAAATGATTTGGCCGAATCGATGACCTCATTGGTTGTCATCAAACCCACACGTATTGTAAATTGGGCGCCTGCCATCGAGATGACGGCCGGTAGTTCATTTAAAATTCATTGTGACGTGGAGGGAGATTCCCGCTTGAAAATCGATATAGCGTGGTTCAATGGGAAGAACAAACAAAAACCCATCGAAAATGATGATCATTTCGTGATAGAAAATGACTCGTTAACCATTTCCAATGTGTCTACATTGGATATCGGTGATTATATCTGTGAAGCTTCCACAGTGGTAGACAAAACGCGCGCCACAGTCAAATTAACCTTAGATGAAGTTCCACATGCTCCAATTTTGAACGAGATCAAATGCCACGACTCACCCTCATCCGTCGAACTTTCGCCAAGTGTGGAAATTTCGTGGTCACCATCCGAGAATTATGGGCCCGATATTGAGAGCTTTACAATCTTATTCAATACCGCACTCGCTCCGCATGTTTGGCATACTGCTAAAGAAAATATTCCATCCAATGTGTCCACATCGGAAATTTCATCACTGAAACCATGGACGAAATATACATACCGTGTGATTGCGAATAATAAAATTGGTCAATCACCTCCAAGCGAAATAAGCGCCGTTTGTGCAACCAAACCGGATGTTCCATACAAAAATCCAGAGAAAATTAAAGTTGAAGGCACCGCACCAAATAATCTGGTTATTTCGTGGAAACAAATGCCAAAAACTGTACACAATGGACCCGATTTCTTCTATCGCGTGTCCTGGAAACGAGATATCGAATTTGAAAAATGGATTGAGACCGATGTTCATGATTGGAAACAAGGGAATATTATCATAAACAATCAACCGACTTTCGTTCGTTACCTGGCCAAAGTTGAGGCATTCAATTCAATTGGAAAATCGAATGTAAATGCCGATGAATATTTCGGATTTTCAGCTGAGGGCGCACCATTTCAAGCACCTTCCAATCTTCAATTGGCTGATGTTAACAGAAGATTCGCACTTTTGCAATGGGAACCGGTGCCATTCGAATATTTCAATGGCTTTTACAAAGGATACAAAGTTAAAATTTGGAACGATATCGATGGTGTGAACAATGTGACCGAGATGCATTTTGTAGCTCCCACTATCTCTCCTGGCAGTAACTTAATAACTGCAGTTAAATTGCCTGCATTGCGTCCAGCAACTCACAATTATGTACAAGTTTGTGTTTTGAATAGAAAATACGAAGGCCCATTCAGTGATGTTATAGAATTTACAACACTCGAAGATGTTCCTTCGATTGTGCAATCATTCAAAGCAATCCCATTTAACACAACGGCATTATTTTTGCGATGGGAAAAACCAACGAATCCAAATGGCAATTTAACGGGCTACAACATTTATTGTGATCAAATCGATGGTGGAACAACCAAGTCGAGTGATGCATCGAAGCAACAGCAGCCACTATTCTGGGCTGGTCCCAATGCAACCGCAGCATTTGTGACTGATTTGAAACCAGACACCAAATATCGTATAGCGATTTCGGCTAGAACAGCCGCCGGTGAAGGCGAACGGTATTTTTTTTTTCTTGATTTTTTGAAAATTTTGGAAAAAGTTTTCTAATTTTTGTTTTTTTTTTATTCATATTTTAGCGCCATTAATGAATCAAAAACAAAATCAGATCAGGGTACACAGCCGCCGTCAAATTCAACAATGCCTTCCACTGAAACAACAACACCCGGCGGTTCATCGTCTACCTCAGGCAATGTGATGCTTATAATCGGGCTAGTGACCTTTATGGTGACAATGGTAAAAGGTGCATTTTGATCACATTCTTTGAGAAATTGTCGATTAAATCATGAATCATGGTCCATTAACTTCTACTATGACCTTATTCACATAAGTCACCCAAACCAACGTATCATTTTGTACAAATCAATACGATGAATTGAAATGTAAAGATTACTATCTAAGAGCGTAAAATTAAATAAAATTTCGAACAAATTATGAAACATACCAAGAATTTATGTTCTTACTCAGAAAATGAAATCGAATATGAAAGAAAAAAAACGAATACTTACAACAGACAATAAGGTTTAGCTTTTTAACGAAATCTATTGAAGCGATTAATATTGATGTGCCACACGTGTCGTCCGAAATAGAAAATCGAACGCAATTTCTGTGACAGTGTCGTGATTTTTTTTACACAAATACGGAAATTCTTAGAAACAATCAAAGCTTGATTCCGGATTGAAGCCTGTCAAAAACGTTTTCATTGGAAACGAAAATAAGAAGAAAAAAATTTGTAATAAGAAGTCGTGGTGTGATGAAGAAAATGTACAACTGAATTTTTTTTTTGGTTTTCAAGGTCACGAGTAGAAAATATCATGTGCTTGCAGAGAATATTTCGTAAAAGGCACGTACAGTACATAAGAGCCAATGCAAAAGTCAATTGATGAGCATAAGTAGCGCCACCTCTAATGATTACGGAGAGTTACCATAAGTCGTATGCAATTGATGTTGAGAAAAAGAAGAAGAAGAAGAAGTAGACATTCTATTCATTTACATTGCAATAATGGCAATCAGTAGAGATGGTGCTCATGTGCCGATCATATCACTATTACAACCCTTCGATATTTCGTATAAGAACAAACTTCAAAATCCTGTTTCACGTCCAAAGGTTTGATGAACTGGAGAAATGAGTCTCAGAAATTTTACCAGCAAATATATATTTGATTACTATGTGAAGTTTAAATGAACTGTGAAAAGCGAAATGAGTTATATCTTTTATGAACAAAATGATAATAATCTAACATTGAGGGCGGAGTAACTTATCGATAAAAAAGGCCATTGAGGCAATCATTATAAATCACCCAAGATGATTCACCTTCGATTGATGCACAGTTAACACAATGATTCTAGCAATGTTGAGATTTGACACTTAACTTTGTTTTAGTACCATTTGCTCTAGAAAAAGTTCAAAAGTTCTATAATAAATACATGAAGCTTTGATTTTTGATTTAGTACATTTTGAACTTTTTCTAGTACAAATGGTATTCAAATAGATTTCAGTGCCAAATTTCATATTGCGGTTCTAAAAGTTAGAACCATCGTGTTTACTGTGATGTAATTGAACGATTCAGAATAATTTGAAAAATTCTTCTATGACATACAAACTGTGTAAATACTTGTCCAATGTTCAATGTCTACGAAGGAAAATTGTAAGAATGTTTCAATGGTGAAATAAAAGCCAAAGTTTATAGATCTGATGATAATGATGATTCATCATTGATGAATCAATTGGTGGCGCCAAATTCCCAATTTTTTTTTTCCGCAAATTTCGATGAATCAAATAATTTTGTGTGGTTCATCCAAAGGAGATTCCCCACGATCAGATTTTTTATGAAATTTAGAAAATAAATTCAACGAATTGGTGTTGATTCTTGAAAATTATGGTGAAGTAGAAGCAAAAATAATCACATCATCTCTCAACTACCTATCAGCACTTAACAGCAAGAAAATCTGATTCACGTGCTTATATTGTTTGGAAACAATGACCATTGACCAAACACATTATCTTTTCAATCAGATCGCTTCTGGGAGTGAACACTGAACATGTACCTCACGTACATCGATATGAAAAAAATTAATCCCCGCACATGCTATGAATGTGGTGCCTGAATTGGATTTTTCCTTTGCCACCCGAGCGATTGATAATATGTCAGCATTAAAATACTTGATAATTTGAACAATGAAACTTTGCATTGATTGCGTAAATCGCATTCTTCATGATCACTATATATCAAGAGTTGCTCAGGTGATTTTCAGCAGTCGATTTGATTCAATCTCCCTACTTGGTGTTACACGGACAAGTGGATTTTCGGTGTCTAGTGTAGAATATTGAAACAATATTTATTACATAAATATTGACATCATTTTCATAGTTCTTCAAAAAAATAGATCTAAGATCAAAATGTGGCACATTTTGGCGTTTGTATTCATTAGTCTACCTCTTGTTTTAGGTAAGTGGCACAAAGTTTTTTTTTAAATTTCGAATCAATTTTCAAAATTTTCAAGTATTCAAAATGAAAAGTGTTCAAAAATAATCATTCACAATAAAATGGTTTCATTTCCCAGGTGCAAATATCCCGATGGCACCTCAAATAACAAATTTAGTGTGCAATCCACGGGAAGCAGTTATTTCATGGAAGCCACACAATGGGGCACTTGTTAAATCATACACAATTGAATACAGTACATCATACGAACCAAACCATTGGAGCGTTGCTGATCAAAAACAATCACCTGAAAACAGCGCTACTTTAAAATTGTCTCCAGGTGTTGGCTTCACATTTCGCATCTTGTCCGTCGGCGAGCATGGTATATCACAACCAAGCAAACCGAGTGAAGTTTGCACTAGCCAAGCAGATATTCCATATAGAAACCCAGACGATGCGAAAATAATAAGTCTGCAACCATTAGAAATGACAATTAAATGGACGCCAATACCACAAATAGAGCACAATGGTCCCGGTTTTTACTATATTGTGAGTTGGAAACCAAGGGATGGTTCATCTTCAGGTTGGAGCGTACATATCAAGGATTGGACTCAAGACACATATGTTATCAAATGTGACAAGTTCAAAATATTCGAATTTCAAGTAAGATCGGCCAATCAAGTCGGTCCATCAAAAGCTCCAACCGAGCTACGTGCCGCATATCCGGGTGAAGATCGACCCAGCCAAGCACCGAGAAAATTTAAAATCGTATCAAGTAAGTGTGAATGCGTGAAATAAGTGTTATTAAGTCATTGTTTCAATCATAACACTATCATTATCATGACTTGGAAATTTAATTGTTTTCTCTCCTATTTTAATCTCCGCCTAGATACAGACAACGTTTATGGTGAAAATGCCACAGTCACTTTTGAATGGGAACGAATAGATTTGTCAAACGATGCTCTCAATGGTAATGCGGAGAGTTACATAATTCAATACTGGAGTGATGCTGATGTAGACGATAAAATGGACCACTCAGTCGGCCGTAAAAGTAAAACAACCATTTCGGGATTGAAATACAATTCATTTTATTCGGCTCACATTCAAGTAGTGAACAATAAACATCGTGGTCCTACTAGTAAAATTATCAAATTCCATACGTTGGAAGGAGTTTCCAAAAAGGTGAACAGCTTTAAAGCTATTTCGATGGGATCATCGGCATTTTTACTGAATTGGACCAAACCAGAGCAACCAAATGGCCAATTACTTGGATACAATATTTACTATGAAATTGAAGGAGCCAAAGGTTATGCACGCAAACCACAAATCACCAATCCCAGTGTTACTCAAGCAATTTTGGGCGGTTTAAAGCCAAATGCAACCTATCGATTACACATTGCGGCTGTGACGAGAAGGGGCGAAGGAGAAGAGTACGTAAATATTCGGTGGAAAAAGAAGAAATTTTTCTCCAACTTTTTGATTTGCATCATTGTCAAGAGATCTTATTTTTAAATGTCAATATTTTTCCCTTCATTCGATTTTAGTTCTCACATTGTATTGGACACATTATCTCCAGCTCAACCAGACGTACCATCGTTTACATGGGAGCCATTGGAATCGACTACTAACGAAACAAGTGTCAGAGTGAATTGGATACCAAAATTGAATGGTAACCCTGGAAGCAGTTTTCGTGTATTATACCGCATGGATGAGAAAAGCAATTGGACTGAAACCGAAGAAGTGATTAATCACAATTCTATCATTGTGACTGGCTTACTTCAAAATCAAGCCTATGAGATGGCTGTGGTTTCAATTGACGGCCAATTCTTAGCCCAAAGTGAAGTCCAGATACTCAAAACCAACGGTAAACATACTTGAGAATAATGTTTGGATGACATTTCTTTTAATTGCTTCTTTTTCTTGGATTTCAGAGGATGAATCATCAAATACGAGTATGATTATCTCAATATCAGTAGTTTTGATTGTGTCTGCCCTATTCAGTATATGCGTGTTCACTGCATGTAAAAAGAGATATCAGAATACTAACAATCCATGAAGCGTTATGCACAGACGTGTGCAAGGGGGGGTATTCCGGTTTTACCCCCCCCCCCTCTAGGATTCCAAAATGTGGACCCCCCCAGCGATTTGGAAAATTTGACACTAGATATAATCGATTTTCAAAAGTGAGGACCTTTTTTTTTTTTAGGTCTTCACTTATTTTTTGACACCCATTGACAAAATTTTAGACTCCCATTGTGGAATTTTGACTGTTTTACACTAGATAGAATCGATTTTAAAAAGTGAGGACCTTTTTTTTTTTTTTTAGTCCTCACTTTTTTCGGAGACTGGTTTTACACTAGATAGAATCGATTTCCAGACCCCCCCCTGGCAAAATCATTTTACCCCCCCTAGAATTTTTGACCTTGCACACGTCTGGTTATGCATCATGCGTATCATCGTAGACCATCGATTTATCATTCGAACTTAGAATTTTGAAGGAAAACTTGGATTTTTTTATTGATTCATTCAAACGATTTATCGATAACATTAACATGTAAATATGCTATTAAAATAGAAGTATAAACCAGTAAAAAAAAGATTTGTTTAACCCATCGAGTACCAGTGCCGGTATTCTGGAACACAATCTGCAAAAATAATGCGGAATTATTCCGAGCGATCAATTTTATTTTGGAAGGTGGTATCCAAACGTTCAATCAATGAAAAAGAGACAAATCCATATATAACGTTTGGATATCACCTTCCAAAATACAATTGATCGCTCGGAATAATTCCGCATTATTTTTGCGGATTGTGTTCCAGAATACCGGCACTGGATTCTTATTTTATTTTTAAAATGCATTAAACTTTCAAATTTTAATAATTTGGGTCTAAGAATAAGAGTCGACTTCATAGATCGTGAGATATGAGTCCCATTTTTCTTAAACAGCGATGGTTAAGTTAAATTTTTCTTAAAATTCGAAAATTCAGTGCAAATTTGTCGGAATTTTTGAAGAATTTTTCATTTATTTCTGGTTTTATTCGCAGCTCGATCCGGCCAATTTGAAAGTTTTTCGTTCATTTTGTAATACTCTCATCGATTGAAGGATCCCAAAGCATGGTTATATAACGGCTATCCTCCGCTAAATTCTGGAAGTGTAGTCAAACTTATGATTTTTATTACGAAAAAATGGTTGAAAAAAGCAGAAAATCGAATCAATAAATGTCACAAAAAAAATCACAAATAAATATATCGAAAATAATTTCATGCGACAAAAACATTCGAAATGTGATTTGTCGGTTTCAATTTCTCGGTAAATGAATCAGGAAATCCCAAGATATATCGATTAAAACCCATTTGACGATCGTGAGTTATCTTATCTACTAATTGATTCTTGAATAGATTTCGTTCCATTGCTGTCAGACTCGGAATATATTGTATGTTACAAGTCACAGCTTACAACAATACGATTTCATCCGAAAAAAAGATAAAAAATTTTTTTCGATTACTTACTTATCATGTGGTCAGCTATATTGATATCGATAACAATAACGAGCGCTTTGAGCTCAAAATGCAGTAACTGGGATAAGGAGAATATCATTTACGGAAAAGTAAGTTTTGCACATGTAATGTCATCCAATTTAATTGGTTTATTCTGGCAGCTTTGACACTCATTACTACGAATAAATAAAGTCAGTTGTTCAGAGAAATTCATAAAGATACAGTGAATGTATCAAGTTGAATAAACGTATGGCACCCAGTTTGAAATGTGGGAAAAACAATTGCTTACGATATTGGTGGTTTCAGTTGTATCATATGGAATAAAGGCATTGGGTAAGTCATTTATCATAAGTGTAATAAAAAATACTGCACGTGTTTTCGACGCGGTACAATAATCAAAATTTTAAGTGTAAATATATAGTGTTTCTGGTTCATGCGTCGTCAGGTGATTTATACTTTTCTATTGAAAATGTGTTGATAAGAAAAATTCGCGTATGAACTTTTGACTCCAAAGAGGCATGCAGTTAGAGCAGTTGCTGCGAAAGTAGTGAAATTGCATCAAAATTTAAGCCGTGTAAAAAACTAAAAAAAAAATCAAAGTAATGGATGAAACATGATACTGAAATAAATTTTTCGCTATATTGACTCAGTTGAAAGTGCTTTGTTTCTATGTTATTGCGTTTTGAGTGTGATTTATGGGCTAATCAGTGTTCATTTTATTAAAAATATAAAAAGTAAATCTTTATAAAGTGGCAAAATTGCGTATAAATACGTCAAATTTGTATGTAAGACCATGAAAGATAACGTCAATCAATCACAGATAAATGCGTAATACACTTTATTTTTTGTATCTGTTTCGACATGATGTCAATAGATTCTGTTTCAATTGGAATTTTTTTCCCATTAACAATAAATATAAATTAAAAGAATGCAAACATTGAAATGACACCCATAGAATAAAAGAACAACTTATAAGTTAAAGGTATTAATTACTCTTAATCCATAACTGAGATGGAAAAAAACTTAGAGCAAAAAAGGGTCAAATAAAGTTGCGAGCAAAAGTGAAGAACACAGCTTAGCATTGAGCGGAAAAGACGTTTTTTGCATTTTTCCTGCTACTGGAAAAAGATAACGATTAGGTGTCTTCGGCTTATTTGTAGTTCTTTTTATTTTCTACAATAATGTCGAAGACACCTAGTCGCTATGTCTTTCCAGTAGCGAGAAAAATGCAAAAAACATCTTTTACGCACAATGCTGTGCTGTGCCACTTTTGTTCGCAACTTTATTTGTCTCTTTTTTGCTCTAAGTTTATTTTTCCGTCACAGTTATGGATAAAGAGCACATATAAGTTGTTTTTTAATTCTATGGGTGTCAAATATTAGTTAAAAATACTGAAAACAATATGGCCACTCATGAAGAGAAGTGATGATGATCAGTGAATTATTCAAAAACCGATGAAGATCAATTCAACTGCATCATTAGTTAGATGATATCTCATTTCAGGGTAGTTCCAAAGCAAATGCGATGTTTTTTTAACCTTTCCCGATTTTCTTTCAGATTTACATGATCGGGTTCAACCCTCAGAAATAGTTGAGAGTGATAAAGTGACTAAAAAATTTGATATCACTGGGAACGTGCCATCTGATGCGATACGGGTGCATCATGGTGATTCAGTTACAGCCAAAGACGGTGTTCCGAGCATTGTTCGATCATGCAAAGCATTCCCATTGGGATCATCAGCATTTCTGTTGCGATGGGAACCACCACAGCATTCAAATGCATCTTTAATTGGTTACAAAGTCTCTTATAGAGAAGAAAACGACACAGACGAACATGCACGTGAGCCACAAATTCAAGATCCGTATGCTACTCAAACAAAATTGACTGGATTGAAACCGAATACCAGATATCGTGTGTTTATTGGTGCGTATACCGGAAATGGCGACGGAGAAAGGTAACTACAGAATTTACATACAAGATCAAGAAGTGAATCAATACTGAATTGACTCAAAGCACGGAAAACAACTGATAATCCACTGAAAATATTACTTCTTGATATGGATAAATACTGAATGCCAGTTTTCACCCAGATTCTCCACCATTTTTTCAGATGTGAACTCAGAGGACAAACCAAGCCACCCGGAATGAAGAAGCCAGATCAACCGACGTTCACATTCGAACTCTTACCATTGGAAACCGATTTTTTAAGAGTTAAAGTCATTTGGCTGCCGAATGTCGATGGCAATCCGGGAACAGATTTCTATGTAAAATATCGATTGAAAGGTGTTACAGAATGGCATCACACAAATCCTATTCTCAAGGATGACTTCTCCGTTATTGAATGCCTTTCGCCAAAGGAAACGTATGAGATGATTGTAGTATCGCTAGAAGGTCATTTCGAAGCCGAAAGTGACATTCAGAAAGTTACACGGGGTATGAACTAGAACGAAGATAAAGCATTCAGTTCATGTTTAACAAACCATTTTTTCATCAAATTTTAAAGCCTTAGAAAATCCAACACACAGCTTATTCATAGACAGATATGTCATCATTGGTGCTACAGCAGTTGTGTTGTGTTTGATTCTCGGATTTTCTGCATTCATGCTATTCACACATAAGAAAGGCAAATGTAGAAGGTTTAGAAGACCAACAAAAAGAACACTTCACCCTGGTTTGGAACCAAATTTATCAAAACTCGACGTTTGGTATGATGATGGTTTCACCAGAATTGGGAATAACTATGAGGTAAATTTTTGAATTTTAAGCCTTTCCCTCAAGTTGATATCAAATTGGGACTCAAGGTTTGATGATGTTAGGAGAAGAGCTTTTTCAGCTAATAAAAACAGCCTCATAGATTCGCGGTACCACCAACGCTTAATTTCGTTTTCTATTCCAAACCATTTAGATACAAAATCGACATGAACGCAATTTGTCAAGTGAACAAAAGCTTAATTCAATGTATTGCCTTACAAAGTTTGAAGAAGGCAATATTGGCGGTATCAATCCAGAGTTGACATTGGATGAGCAAGCCGATTTGCTTCCATATGATCAGAAATTTGAATTTCCCAAAGAAAAACTACAACTTGGACATCAATTGGGAATGGGAGCATTTGGTGTTGTTTTCAAAGCAACAGCCAAAGGCATCGTATCGTATGAAGAAGAAACAACGGTTGCTGTTAAAATGCTCAAAAGTATTGCTAGCGATGAGGTTGGTTTTTAAGGGAATTTGGCTAATGAAAGTGGTTGTGGATAAATGATGTTTTTTTTTCTCGCTGAAGAAATTGACTTAGAAATTTGTCTAAATTTGTCTGTTAAGATATTTAGATCCCTATTCAAATTTAGATTCTCAAAAAAGCCCCATATCTTTTAGGTACTGCGTGCATTAGCTTTGGAATTGAAGATTCTGGTGCATTTAGGGCGACATTTGAATGTAGTCAATTTGCTCGGAGCTATTACCAAAAATATTTCACAACGTGAGTGTGACGCCGTGTATTTTTGCGCTCACGCAATCTCTCGTTGTTTTAATTTGTTTCCTTTAAAACAGGTGAACTAATGCTAATCGTTGAGTATTGTCCATTTGGGAATCTGCAGAACTTTTTGGTTAAAAATCGTAAGCACTTTGTCGATCAACTCAATCGTAATGAGGATAGAATCGATGCAAAAATAACAGAACGAACGGATAAAAATGTTTATGTATATTGTCATAGGTAATTTGCAAAAATTATTTTGAACTATTGAAATTTTAATACATTTAGATATTTGGGACGTTCATAAAAACATCTCGATGAATGAAAATAGTGTATAAAAACTGTTTGTTGCAATTTTGAAGCACCCCAGCAGAAAGATTAACTACAACAACCGATTTGCTGTGTTGGTCATTCCAAATTGCACGTGGAATGCATTATTTAGCCTCTCGCAAAGTCCTGCACGGGGATTTGGCAGCGCGAAATATTTTGTTGTGCGATAATAATGTGGTGAAAATCTGTGACTTTGGTTTGGCGCGGTCAATGTACAAAACTGGCGTTTATCACATAAGTTCAGCGGTATAAAGTGTTTCTTTCTTTCGGTTTTCGAAGTTGATCATTTCACTCTTAATTTGATAGCGTGCATTACCGTTCAAGTGGCTCGCTCTTGAGTCAATTAGCGATCAAGTGTTTAGCACATATTCAGACGTTTGGAGCTTTGGAATCGTATTGTGGGAAATATTTTCACTTGGTGCAACACCTTATCCGGGGATGAATGCAGGCACCGACTTATTTCAGAAATTAAAAGAGGGATATCGATTGGAAAAGCCAGAATATGCAAGTCGAGACATGTAAGTGTCAAGAGCCACAATTACAAATGGATTTCGTAACAGCGGCCAACTTTGACTATCAATCATTCGGAAAATAATAACATTTGCTATTTCCGGTACAGATATGATATTATGCTATCCTGTTGGCAGCTAATTCCGAAATCACGTCCACTGTTCGATAAGCTGGAAGAGGAAATTACAAAAATGATGGATAGAAGTGTATCCGAGCATTATATAATTATGAATGAACCGTATCTTGAAGTGAATGTGAACCGTTTTAGTTCGGGTCAAACGGATTATTTTGCTCTGTTAGGCAGCCCTGATTGTCAATCGCCTTCAAAACCGAAAACAAGTCATCAGACTCTAAATTTTCAAACATGTACAGCTCAAGCTTACTCAAAATCAAGAAGTCCAAATACGATGGAAGTCAGTCATAGCAGTGATATTGATTAAATTTCATAAATAAATCTTTAAATTTATGACAAAACTTGAGTTTTTTTTGTTGCCGATGTGAGGTGGTTAAGTCTATGCTGCATCGAAATATTCTCGTCCGAAAAAAGTCCACTACGATAATTTTGTTTATTTGTGAAAGTACAATTAAACCCCAAATTATAAATATTTTCCCATTTCCTTTAGCGAATTGCCTATTCGTTCAGTCTCAACAACCGATTTGCTTTGCTGGTCATTCCAAATTGCGCCTGGAATGCATTATTCGGTCACCAGGAATCTTTTGCACGGTGACTTAGTAGCGTGAAACATTTTGCTGTGTGATGAATATGTGGTGAAAATATGTGACTTCAGTTTGACACGATCGTTATACAAAACTGGCAATTATCTCATCAAAACAGAAGTAAGTCAAACAAATATTTAGTTTTGTAAATTTTGTTGTAGTTTTAATCGCAAATTGGTCAAATTTATCAATAAGTTATCAATCATCTAACGTCAAAAGAGGCCAATTTTTTCTTTCATTTTTCCGTTTGCTGATACAATGCTGATTACAACAATTCCGCCATCTTCGAAACGACAAAGAACATTTAAACCGACATAATCAAATTGTTTGCTGTCAAACTTTGTCTCGCTTACGCCATCTGTCACACTGACTCGTTCGTTGTATGAATTGCTGTTAGCGTAAAAGAGACGTTGTTCGCAGTGGACTCAGTTTAGAGGTTCTTTAGATTAGAGAAAATTAACCAAATCCACTTTCATCATATTAATAAAATTGATAAAGAGTTTGGTGGTCAGTCACGGTTGTACTCTCGAACGGTATAATTTCTACAACGTTCAACTGTGGCGAAAACAAATCACAGTGTGTTCATTCAGTTTGAAATATTAGCCTTATCATTTCGCACATTCTTCCGTGTAGAAGTTGATCGAAAGTTTTCTAATCGGTAAGTATTATTGTTTCTCTTCAAGTAGTCTTCAGATAAGATAATAGTATGTTTTTTGCGAGGAGTAATAAATTTCGGACTTTTTGAACGTAATCATAGTATTTTCGTTGGAGTTCAAGATTGAAATTTGCTGACCTAATGATCTATATTTCATTCAATAATAATAGTGCGGTTAGATAATTTTCAGCCAGTTTTAACATTTATGTTTCTTTTATCTGATTCAGTGTTCACTGTTTATCAATTTGTGACGGCTGTAAAATAGCACTTTGTTCCGAATGAAGAATAGCTTGTACAGATCGTCAACGAGTTCGAAAAATGTCACATAAACATTTATGCGTACTGTTGGTAATCACTGTGATTGCAGCACAACAACTACTTGCAGAAGGTGAGTATGAAGTGGTTGGGTCATTCAAATTAGGAGAAAAATCTACAATTGGTAAATCGCACGACGAAATTGATTTATTTATTATGAGTGAATATAGATGACAATGATTATGCTTATCAATAATCACAATTACTTTGCCCAATTATGAACGATTTTAAACGATTTTCAATTGAGTGAACTCTGATCGCACTCATGTTAGTTACCATATTTTCACACGGGAATGTTAATTTAATTTAAAACCTAAAGGAGAATCAACAGCCGTTTGTTTTTTTTTCCCAGAATTTCATAACAAATTATTGTTCATTTTGATTAGAAACTAGCTTCCTCGCCTCGCTTCGCTCGGCTTGGGCGCTAGTTCGGGTTCTCTTCCGTTCAGTTAGTTTTTTTTCAATCAAGAAAGATGAATAAGAAAACTAAGCATTTCAGTGAGATGACGATACAATTTGACGTAAAAAGCAAAATTCGGTTATGAATGTTAGTCTGTATCATTTCGTATGTTCAATACTTGTTTTTTCAAAGCAAAGACGATTTTCTGGGAAAGTTGCTCCTTTTTCTGGAGTTGATTTTACACGCATTTTTTTCATATGTGAATTGGTGTTAAGTCGTGTTAAGATGACCAAGATGGACCGAGATGGTGTCCATGTTCAACTCTGTTCCAAAACCAATATTTCATTGCCATCAATCCACATTAATGTACGTTGTATCGAAAAACAATTAAAAAAATTGTTTCTTCAAACTTTTGAAAATTTAATTCGAAAATCAAAACTGATATTTGAATCTGCTATTTAAGCCGCGAGAATTCTAACGACATATTCACCATTAAAACCAAGAATTAAAAAATCATGAAAATAAAAAAAAATAGGACAAACGCACACACACACAATGAGTTTTATATATATAGATAGGAATTTATCAATCTACACGTGTGACATTGATGTATTAATCTTTGCGGTATTTCGTCATTTCTTTATGGACAGACATGCTCGAAAATTATAAGTCGGTATGGGACGCATATTTGTAAACACAAAATCGAAATTTCGTTTGAAATCACCTTATTATTTTTGCTATTGTAGCACAAAAGATACACAATTGTACTTACTTAAAGTGAATGCGCATTTCGAAACGCTCATCCAGGCCGCGCTAGCGTCCTATCTAAATACATTATAATGAATAAGTACAAACTAATACATATGCATTTCGCTATGAATGCGTTTCATGTTATGTGTTTTGATTTCATTTAATTTTGGAAATTGAAAAAAAAAATATTTCTCGACAAAATATATTTTGAAACATCATTGCAATAAAAAAAAAACTTCCAAGTAAGAATGAATATATTGATATTGAGTAAGAAAATTCGGTGAAATCGGTGAAATACTTGAATCAAACATAAACGTTTGAAAAACGTACGACGCGCGCCAAAGCATAAGTGATGTCAAAGTGTGTACAAAGAGTGAAGCAATAGTGCGTTTAATGCTATGTGCTATAGTGTCTCTGTTGATGTTGATCGCTGACGTTTATAGTGGTAGCGCTCATCATCAGCACTGACACGACTTTCGATTTTTGCCGGTGATTTGTGATACGAAAAAACGACAACACACCAACACAACGCAAAAACAACTGGATCAGCAACAACAAAATATTCGCCGCATCAAATCAATGCAAATAAGCAGGACTGTATGTTCCCGCTTTCCGCATTCAATGGTGCTGTCTCTTTCTCGATGTAATAACTTTCATACGCATCGAGTCTGCTCTGTCTATTGGCATTCTTAATCAGTTCGATGCTATGGTCACTTTCATCGATTCCGTGCTCACTGTTCACTCTCCACCACATGTTTAGCAAACGCAGACTCTCTCATTTTCTTCTTTCTTGCACAATTACAATGCTCTTTATATCGAACCGCTATGCTCCTTTTCATTTGCCCAATATAGCGGCGCTTGCACACACCACACTCAATCGCATAAATGCCCGATTTCAAATTATCACTAATTTCATCTTTTGTCGACGATTCCGACTTATAATTTTCGAGCATGTCTGTTCATAAAGAAATGACGAAATACCTCAAAGATTAATACATCAATGTCACACGTGTAGATTGATAAATTCTTATTTCTAATCAAAATGAACAATAATTTGTTATGAAATTCTGGGAAAAAAAAACAAACGACTGTTTTATGGATTTATGGATTTATGGATAGTACGGAGAGTATTATACTCGTCGCTCAGGCTGTTTTTCAGTCTATTGCGAGACGCCCGCTTGGGTGGATTCTTTGCACAACATTCGTCGATTGTGGAGGGCCCATTCGTTGTGATGTGCCCTGTGCCTGTAATCCAGTCAGGGTCGGGCTCCACCACGTCACTAGTGGGCCACATCACATACAACATTTGGCACGCTCCGCATCCATTCCATTGAGCCATTTTTTTTCTCTTGAGTTTTTCGATGGGGACATGCTTCTGATAAAGATATACCGATGTATTCACCAATATCAGTCAACAACCTTAGTCACCAAATATCAGATCAATGCTCTTCTTTTTTTAAAAACATTTTTATTCATTTTTTTTCTTCATTTTTTCACTTTATCTCTGCAGATGTGCGAATTCAAATAGATATCGACTACACAATAGAAGAAGAAGAGGTCACTTTGTCATGCCCGAATCCGTTGTCAATCAAAAGAACCGTAACGTGGTATAAATGGGTTGAAAATGAATGGACATATGTGGATGAAATGAATGACATTCCCTACTCAATTGACGATAACGGTGATTTGTTCATTGAAAAATTGGATTTTAATCATGCTGGAGAATACTTATGCAGCGCTGACAATATTTCTAGTAAAGACACTTATGTGATGTCATTGGTCGTGAAAAAACGTACAAAAGCTTTTATCGAACATGATAATATGATTGTGGGAAAAAGCATTACGATTCGGTGTAAAGTGACTGCTGATCCATCATTGACATATAAAGTCGATTGGAAGCTGAATGACACAGAAATGGATTTAAAAAAAGAATGGCATCTCATGAGAGAAGCATATCATGATACTCTAATCATTAAAAATGCTGAACTCAGTGATTCCGGAACTTACACTTGTGTAGTAAGCACTGATTTCAAGGGAATGCAAAATCAAAATGCTATTGCTTCAACTACGTTAATTGTCAGAGGCCCACCCGAAGCGCCCATAACACATGTAACATGTACTCCGTCGGAGGCAATAATAGAGTGGAAATCAAAAGGCGATAACGGTGCAGATATCCAAAAATACACGATTGAATATCACACATCAGCCGAACCAGGTAAATGGAGAACACTTACGCAAGTTTCATCAAAAAAGTCATCAAAATTCAAATTCTCAATGATTCTGCGCTGGACAAATTACACGTTTCGTGTGATTGCACACAATCGATTCGGGTCATCGCCACCAAGTGTAGTTACTGAAATGTGTATATCCGAACAGGATATTCCATATGAAAATCCACGGGGAGTGATAGGCAGAGGTACCACACCAACAAATATGGTAATTTCATGGGTACCAGTACCACCGTATTTGCAAAATGGGTCAGGTTTTTACTATCGTGTGTGTTGGAGGCAATTTTCAAATGCGAAATGGAATTGTAATAACGTCACTGATTGGAGGCAAAATGAATTCGTCGTCGATGGCCTACCGACTTTCACCAAATACCAAATCCAAGTTAAAAGCGTGAACGATATCGATGAGATGTATAGAGATGATATCTTTATTGGATATTCGGGTGAAGATAAACCAATGCAAGCACCCACTAACTTTGCTGTGGTTAATATAACGGATTTTGACACGGCGACCTTGCGTTGGGATCCTGTTCCACTTGAAACTGTCAGAGGCAACATCACTCGCTATGTGATTCACATTTGGAATGATGTTGATGGTCAACAGAATTTATTGGAAATGGCCGTTGGAGATAAATCTTTTCAGACAACACTCACAAAGCTACGTCGTTCCACTCTGCATTACGCTCACATTTTTGTGGAAAACCGTTTGTATGCTGGTCCAAAAAGTGATATTCTTGAATTTATGACGCCATTACCGGATCCAAGCTCCGTTCAATCTATCGAAGCTCATCCATTAGGCTCATCAGCATTTTTGCTGAAATGGACCAAACCATTGCAAATTAATGAACAATTGATCGGATACAAAGTTTACTATGGAGATTTTAATGGAACAAGGAAATATGAACGAATCCCACGAATCAACGATACTGAAACTACTCAGGCTAAACTTGATGGATTAAACCCAAACACTACATATCGTTTGCATATCGTACCAATTACGAATGGCATCGATGGAAAAGAGTGAGTTTTTTTTCATCAAATCTTGTAAAAGGACACAGTTTTAAATGTACTGAGAATGTGAAATGAGATTATTTCAATTTTAACAATCTTTTTAGCTATTTCATTGAAGCGAAAACGGATATTCTCAAAGAGCCCATGAAACCAGATCGACCATCGTTATCTTGGAAAATCATGAGTTCGAATGAAAGTGATATGAAAGTCAAAGTGAATTGGATTCCAGACATCTCTGGCAATCCTGGATCACATTTCTTCGTGAAATATCGCATAAAGGGCAAAACGGACTGGACTCACATCGATCCTATACATACAGAAGATTTCGTGATTGTGGACAGTTTACTAAGAAGCGAAACATATGAGTTTGAGGTTGTATCGGTTGATGGTGATCAAATGGCCGAAAGTGAAGTCAAAGAAGTGTCTTTTGGTAAGAAACACACGAATAATACTTATTTTAGTGATTGAAGAAGTATATTTTAATTTAAAAAAAAAACACTTCTTAAATACTATTTTATCGTATGGTGGCATCAAGTTTTCACAAATTTACCTTCTTATGGAACACAGATTCATCATCTCTCTTTAGCAACAAGACTATCATCATTATCACAACCGTAGCAACTTTGTATTTAGTCTTAGCGATTGGTATGATTCGACTATTTTTCCGAATTAAAGCAAATAAAAGATCAGTTCGAGAAAAAGAGCTAAACTTGAATAACACATTCAAAACCAATAAAGGAAATCCGTATCACATTAATCCGAATGAATTTAATCTCGTACCCAATCAATACACACTTTCACAAATTAAGCCAAGATTCGAAGGGCAATTGAACAGATTTGGAGGTACCATCACCTCTGAGGATGAAGTAAGTGTGAAATTCGAGTCAAAGTCTTTCATTAAATTTTTAAATGAATTTCTATAAATTTTTTAAATACCAGTTCCCTCAAACGAATATACTGACAAGCAAATCAATAAGAAAAGTCGACTACGTGTTGGAGAATTTCATGAATGGAAATCTTGTAAATATCGATCCACACATGGCGTTAGATGAACAGGCCGATACATTACCATATGATCAAAGGTATGAATTTCCGCGTGAAAAATTGGAACTTGGCAAGCAATTGGGTACAGGTGCTTTTGGGGTAGTTTTGGAAGCAAAAGCCTATGGTATCGTCTCCAATGAAGATCAAACCACAGTTGCCGTTAAAACTGTCAAGAAAATGGCTGACAATGAGGTTTGTATCACTATCATTTTTACGTAGAAGAACAACCAGATTTATTCTCATCAATCAATTAGATATTCCGGGCTTTCGCGTTAGAGTTGAAAATAATGATTCATTTGGGAAAGCATCAAAATATCGTCAATTTACTTGGAGCGGTAACCAGAAATATCGCTGAGCGTGAGCTAATGATCATCGTTGAGTACTGTGAGCATGGAAATCTTCAGAGCTTTTTAGTCAAGCATCGTCAACATTTTGTCGATCAAATAATTGCCGAAGACGATCGAATCGATCCAAAAATCACATGTCGCAAAGTGGAAGCGACTAATGGATATCTTATTCACACCAGGTGAGTTTCAATTGAGATTTTCTTTTTCTTTATTCATTTGATCATCCATTTTGTCTACTTTTGTTTTGAACAATTCTTTTTGAAACAGTCAAGCTCCATCGTCAGCACGTTCTATTACAACTACCGATTTGGTGTGTTGGTCATTCCAAATCGCGCGTGGAATGCACTATTTGGCTACCAGGAAAGTATTGCACGGTGATTTGGCAGCGAGAAATATTCTGCTGTGTGAAAATAATGTGGTGAAGATTTGTGATTTCGGTTTGGCGCGATCAATCTACAAAACGGGCAACTATCTCATCAAAACAGAAGTAAGTCAAACGAATATTTAGTTTTTCCACATCTAATTTGAATAATTTTCATTGAGAAAATTAACAATTTCGTAATATTAGCGTCTATTACCATACAAATGGCTGGCACCCGAGTCGATTGGTGACCATGTATTCAGCACCCATTCTGACGTTTGGAGCTTTGGAATCGTGCTGTGGGAATTGTTTTCACTCGGCGCTGTACCGTATCCTGGATTGATTGCTGGCGCTGCTTTGTTCAAAATGTTGATTGAAGGATATAGAATGGAGCGTCCAGACTTTGCTACACAAGATATGTAAGGCTAATCAAACAATCAAAATATAATTATTAGAATTGGAAGGCATTTTCCAAGCAAATACCGAAAAATCATAAATAATTAATTATCATTTTGAATTTGTAGATATGAAATAATGTTGTCTTGTTGGAATGAAAGGCCAGAATCGAGACCATTGTTCGATGAGTTGGCGAGAAAATTCTCAAATATGATGGATCACAACGTGTCTGAGCATTACATTTCGTTGAATGAACCGCACTCCAAAGACAATGAAAATCGTTTGAAATCCGTTCACACGGAGTTGATTGCATCTTCCCAAAGTCAGTCATCGCAAAACAGGAATTCCAGCGTAATAAATGATAAGATGTATCGTGCACTCGATGAAACACAACTATGCTCACATTTTTCAACCTTGAAAAATTCAATACAAGTTCACAGAACTGGAAATTCCAAAAAATCTACGTGAAAATGGTCCAATCTATGGACGGAACCAATTATTACGATTTATATGCCAACAGTTTGATGCTGAGCTGAAATTGTATGAGCGACAAAACCATGACACATACTCCGTGGAATACTGATTTTGTATACGGAATAATTCAATTGAAAGAGAAAATAAGCTGGAGATGGAATATTGTGAGAGCTAGACTGAAACCGCATGGGGAGGAAATAGCACCAGTTTTCAAACTTGGCGCGCTATTTAGATTCGATTTGAAATTGTATATTATATTGGCTTGCCCTTTGGAATTGGGAGCACTGTAATCGCCTCAATTTACTCTGACTTTATTGCTCGCTGTACACCAGCCGCTGTATGACTGAAACAAAAATGAACCGAATGCTGATAGAAATTAGTGGACTTTAAATGTTTGTTATTGATAATGATTAGGCTGAAGAAAAAAAATGACTTATTGAAAATTACGAATTATTTAATAAATAAAAAGAATTACATTAGTAATCCCGAACTTTTCCGTATCGTTTGCCAGCGTTGTCCGTAGGTACTTTTGGTTATTTTTTGCGAATTTTCTTGAAATAAAGGCAGCGAAAATATAATAATAAAAATAAAGTGAAAAATCGGTCACTTTTACTAAAACTTCGACAATTTTGTATGAGAGGTACCCGTAAACCGATTCTCATTGGCTTTAAACTTTCTGAGGTTTCATTTTTTGGAGAAAAAATAAGATTCTGAAAGTTTCATGTTGATCGCATTTGCAGAAGTTTTGTTTTTGGCCCTCAATTTTTTCCAAGAAAATTTCGACAAAAATTGAGGACAAAAAATCAAAATTCTGCAAATGCGATCAACATGAAACTTTCAGAATCTTATTTTTTCTCCAAAAAATGAAACCTCAGAAAGTTTGAAGCCAATCAGAATCGATTAACGGGTACCTCCCATACAAAATTGTCCAAAAATCGGTAATTTCAGTCAAAATTTCAAAAAAAATTTATGGGAGGTACCCGTAAATCAATTCCGATTGGTTTCAAACTTTCAGAATCTTATTTTTCTCCCAAAAAATGAAATCCCAGAAAGTTTGGAGCCAATCGGAGTCGATTTACAGGTACCTCCCATACCAAAGTGTCAATTTTTTGAGGTTTTTCTTAGAGCAAGGATCATCACCCCAGGATCAAATCGAAAATGGCTCATCTTCGAACTTAAACTAAGTTTTTCGGATACAAAACTTTTGGCATTTCCAGATTTTGATTATTTTAATTATTTTCTGAGTTATCGTGTTAACAAACACCAACGACGACAACGACGACGACGACGACGACAACGACGGCACACGAACGGAAAAGTGTCTAAAAAGTGGTTTTCTACGCGTTTCATGAGTTTTTATGATGATCTAAGCTAATTTTGCGAAAAAAGTTTTCGGGACCAATTCCTATACTTTCCCTTGACACGTTGTATACGGAAAAGTAAAATGACAGAGTCACTTCTTTTCGGTCACCAACACCAACGTCTTCAGTGTACGTTGTCATTCAAGGCGACGTGTACAGCCCAAGCGAAGTGTGAAATGGTATATAAACTCAAAAACGCTCAGCACCGACGCTCCCACAAAGAGACCGAGTAAACCACCGCAAATGGCAAGGAAGTCGGTATAACCATACAGTTCGTATCTTTGAATAGCAATAAATTGATGCTCCTTGAAGAAGATTGACAACCGAGCGGGTTGTGCGCTGAAATTGTCAAGAAAAGACAATGTGTTATTGTCCATTGATTCCAATTGATTCCAAATATGAACATAAAAGTAATAGTCTACAAGCATACCCAACTAAATCATCGGTTGACTCATCATATTTTTGTGCTATTATTGAATCTGCCTTGTCAAAATTCGCTTGAATAACTTCTGCATCATAATTGACCGAAATGCAGGCCGGTAAACAATTGCAGGCTCTGGAATCTTTATCGTTTGAACCATCGACGAGGTGTCGTTCGAAAAACGTGTCCTCGGCTTTATTGCAACAGCGGATTTTATCAGAACCACAAACTCGAGTATCATTGTCTCCTTCAAACGCAAAAAAGATCATATAATATTGGATAAAGTAGATTCCAATACAAAAATAAAGTCATACTTGGCATTGAAAATTTAACACAGCCGCAATGTGTTCTGGTGTAGTTGGCCAGACATTCCATTTCGCAGTTGTGTTGCGTGTACATTTTGAAGAATCTCAATTGATGTTCCCCGTTAAAATAACATTGGCGTCGAGTTGGGCTATAGGATCGTAGAGACTCTGCAGTGGTAGTCATTTGCGGTCTCACTGCTATCATGACATCGTGTAATAATGGAACTTTGATGTGACGTTGTGATAACTGAGACGCTTCCGCTGGATTGTGCAGAAAAATCTTGAAGCCTTCAATCGGTCCACGACATTGAGCTTCCAGATCGTTATCATTGAGACGAAGCAAAGTGAATAATCCTGTACTGGATCCAGAGCCAAATACTCGATACGGATATGTTGTGGTGTTTCCAATATCAACGTTTTCGTAACCGTCTTCAATATTCCAATGTTTGGCCAGTGGATTGTTCGTCATGGTCATCATATCAGGCGAAACTCTGAAATATATTTATATATCAATATAATCTAATTTTACAATCGAAAATATTCACATACGCTTCAGTGTAAATCTGCCGCGAATTGAGAGCGTTGAATGTGAAGCAAAGGCCATCCTCGACTAGATTTGTTCTAAAAATTGAGTCACATTCGGTTTCGTCATTGTGCCAACGACAGAGAGACATGGAATCATTCAGAGTTAATCCAATGTCTTTTAAGATGTCCAGAAATGTAATATTTATGAATTTCTGGCCCAATGGTTCAATATAACTGTCATCGCATAGCTGATATACCGCCTTCAATCGCTCAATTCTATAAAAGATGAACAATATTTCAAAATCATTCAGGTGTTTTTGTTTCTAATTGTATTGAAATTTATTTCGTTCTTACTGTTCTGTCGGCACTTGGTCCATTTTTCCATCATAGATCTTCTTATTGATTTTGGTGAAGTTGAATTTGTTCGCATAGGATTTGGTATCCGGGCAAATAGTTACAGCAGGAAATGGGATCGACGAAACTGGCGTCGCTTTTTCTGAGAAAGTCACAACAACCGGGCTCGATTGCCATTTGATATAAACACCTTGAATCAAGTTCACACACAGCATCAGTGATACTCCAACAGAGACAGCCCAGAAAATTCTATTCAGAACAATCAACTTAATACTTTTTAACAGAAGAATATCATATGCACTTACACACATACACATACCTTTCAGTCCAATGGCGTCCTTTTTCAGTAAAATAACGAACACCATGAACAGAGCTATCTGTAAGAAAATTCGAAATTTCCTCAAAAACCGACTGGAAACGAGACAAAACAGAGCACTTTTCCACAGTCACGATCGCCGTATTTCCGACTTGCGACTTGCGCTGTGACATACGAGACAAAAGAGAGCAGCCCAGACGAAGTGTAAAATAATAAAAAATCTCGATGATGCTTAGTAGGGAAGCTCCAAAAAAGATACCCAATATTCCTCCGCAATTGGCGAGAAAGTCAGTTATACCGTAAAGTTCCGACCGTTGCAATGCCATAAATTGATGCTCCTCAAAGCAAATTGTGAAACGAGCCAATACGCTGAAATGTTGGAAGAAATGGATGACAATCGTTAGAAGGATTTCAATCATATGGATAGATCACACATACGATATATCTCTATTCAGACTTGTCTTTGTTTTGCTGACGTCATCTTGTAAAATTTCTACGTTGTATTCGATTGAATTGCATGCAGGTAAACAATTGCAGCCATTTGAAATAGTTTTACTGGTGGCCAAGCTATCATTGAAATCTTTTTTTAAAAATTTATCTTCAGCGTTTGTCATGCAATTGATGGTAGCAGCTCCACAGATCAAAGTATCTTCATCTCCTTCAAATTCGAAGAAATCGAGAATATTCTTTTATTAGGATCACTTGTATACAAGTCATGTCTGATGCTTAGTAAATCTTTTAACTTACTTGGCATTGAGAATTTAACGCAACCGCATTCTCTCTTAGTGAAATCAGCTAGACACTCTAGTTCACAATTACGCTGAGTATATACTTTGAAGAAACGTAACTGCCGTTCTGACCCGAAAAAACACTGCCGTTGATGCGGTTTGTAACGCCGTAGACCATCTGAAGTTGTGATTATTTGTGGTTTGACGGACACAGAAAATTCTTTTTTCCATGGCAATCGAAAATAGTTTGTTGAAACTTGAGGTGATTCTGCCGCAGAATGCAAATGAATTCTGAAACCTTTCATGAGATCATTACATCCACTGTTCACATCAAAGTAGTAGAGCTGCAATTCGGTAAGTAATCCAGCTTTTGGACCTGTGCCGTATACTCGATAAGGATAGAACTGGTTTTCATTCCCGTTGTTATTGTTGTATCCACCTCCGGGATTCCATTGTGTTCTAGGGGGTAGACACGATTAGTAAATTAGAATCTAATACAGTAAATTAGAGAATATCATAGAAAATATTAAAAACTTGAATGTTCGATGACTTTTACATGGCAAATGCAATGCCAATACAATTCTTTATGTAGATTTTTGTTTTGTTTATTTCCCGTTATTTGTCAACAAGTCTGGCTATATCAACGTATTTCCTTTGTACATAGTTTATGGAAATATACAGAGACAATGTAAAAAGATAGGCAGATTTGTTTACAAACAACGAAAAAATAAACAAAACAAAAATCTCCATAAAGAATGTACTGGCAATGTAAAACTAAATGGCGAGCATTTTGAGAGAATATTAGAAGATATTAGCACTTTCATTCAATTATTAGAAATATTAGAGAAAACTAAATGAAACTAGGGATATATTTTCAAAAATGAGAAAGATTAGTGATACTAGATTAATATTAAAATCCGTGTCTACCCCCTAGATTGTGTTACATTTGGGTTGCCTTCAATTGTCATCATGTTCGGTGCCATTCTGTTATTGAAATAATGTAAAAAATGAAACGTGATTAAAAAACACAACTACACAATGTGAGTCAAGAGTGTGTCATACTCCTCCGTGTAAATCTCCCTTGAATTGAGAGCATTAAATGTGAAGCAAAGTCCTTCATCTGTCAAAATGGGCTGATAGAGTGTGTTACAACTACTATTTCGATTAAGCCATTTGCAGCTTAATATGGTGTCATTTAGAGGTAAGCCGATGTCTTTTATTATATCAAAAATGCTATCGTCCGTAAAGTTCGGCTTTATCATTTCAAGATTTACTCGGTCCTTATTTTCACAAATTTGCAACGCAGCCATCATTCGCCTGCATCAGACAAATAGGTAAAAATTATTTCGTTATTTATTAAGAAGATATCCTCTGATTATGTTATCTGCATTAACCTCTG